TCAGATCCGCTCCCAAGGCGCCGCCGAACACCCGCATCAGTGCCGCAGCAGCGCGGGGAGCCGCCCGCCCCGCCGAACAAGCCCCAACGGCTCCTCCACAAGTCGGAGCTGTTCCGGGGTCTCCGCCTCCTTCCTGGTGCGCCGCGTCGGCAGCAACACCAAAGCCTGCCCTAACATGGCGGCCACATCCTCTGCCTCTGCCTGCTGTCTTTCCGCCTCAGTCTCCGCGGGCGGGGATTATTCGGAATCGATCTTGACTGGCCAGGCTTGACTATTCCAAAGCTTAGGGAGTGAGTGATTTTCTTGTAAACCAATCAGAAAGCGCTCCCGCTCTTTCCCTGACCCAGAGCGCGGTATTATCACTTCTTTAGCTATACCCCTTTCGCCTGCTCTCGGTCTCGAGGGCGCGATGACTACAATACCCAGCATGCAATTGGGAAATCTTGCCCAGGAAATGCAGAGCGCACCCGTACGTTCTTCTGGTATAGGCAGATAACCTCATGCAACGCGTGGGAACGGTTATTACTCATCCCGTGCGGCTTTCACAAAGTTGCTTGAACTTCGTAGTTAGTGCCACGTTGCCTCGTGATTAAAAGAAGTTAAACAAACTAAAATTTAGCTTTGTTCAAAGATTCCCGGACGTCATTAGCTTTTTATTACTGTATGGTGCTTTGGAATAAAAAATATTCAAACCAACGTTAGTATTAACTGATGAATTATCGAATTTAAATGTATTTTAATTTTGTCGTTTAGTCGTGTCCGATTCTTCGTGACCTCATGGACCAGAGCATGCCAGACCCTCATGTCTTGCACTGCCTCCTGGAGTTTGGTCAAATTGATGTTGGTAGCTTTGATGACACTTTCCAACCATCTTGTCCTCTGTCGTCCCCTTCTTCTCTTGCCTTCACACTTTCTGCAGGGACCATGGAGCCCACAAAAGTAAACTGTCACTCCGTCCATATCTTCCCCTTCTATTTGCCAGGAGGGGATGGGACCAGTGGCCATGATTGTCGTTTTCTTTTTTGTTTTTGTTTTTGATGTTGAGCTTAGACCATTTTTTGCACTCTCCTCTTTCACCCTCATTAACAGGTTCTTTACTTCCACCTCACTTTCTGCCGGAGTGGTATCATCTGCATATTGGAGGTTGTTGATGTTTCTTTCTGCAATCTTAATTCTGGTTTGGGATTCGTCCAGTCCAGCATTTTGCAGGCTGCATTCTGCATATAAGTTAAATAAGCAGGGAGGCAATATACAGCCTTGTCGTATTCCTTTCCCAATTTTGAACCAATCTGTTGTTCCTTATCCAGTTCTAACTGTTGCTTCCTGTCCCACATATAGATTTCTCAGGAGATGGATAAGATAGTCAGGCACTCCTATTTATTTAAGAACTTGCCATAGTTTGCTGTGGTCCACACAGTCAAAGGGTTTTGCCTAGTCAATGAAACAGAAGTAGATGTTCTTCTGGAACTGTCTGGCTTTCTCCATAATCCAGCACATGTTAGCAATTTGTTCTCTAGTTCCTCTGCCCCTTTGAAATCTAGCTTGTACTTCTGGAGTTCTCGGTCCACATACTGCTGAAGCCTGCCTTGTAAGATTTTGAACATAACCTTGCTAGCGTGTGAAATGAGTGCAATTGTACAATAGTTGGAGCATTCTTTGGCACTGCCCTTCTTTGGGATTGGGATGCAGACTGATCTTTTCCAGTCCTCTGGCCACTGTTGAGTTTTCCAAACTTGCTGGCATATTGAGTGTAGCACCTTAACAGTGTCATCTTTTAAGATTATAAATTGTTCTACTGGGATGCCATCACCTGCACTGGCCTTGTTGTTAGACAAGCTTTCTAAGGCCCACTTGACTTCACTCTCCAGGATGTCTGGCTCAAGGTCTGCAACCACATTATCTGGGTTGTCTAGGATATCAAAATCTTTCTGGTATAATTCCTCTGTGTATTCTTGCCACCTCTTCTTGATGTCTTCTGCTTCTGTGAGGTCTCTCCCATTTTTGTCCTTTATCATGTTCATCTTTGCACAAAATGTTCTTCTAATATCTCCAGTTTTCCTGAACAGATCTCTGGTTTTTCCTTTTCTATTATTTCCTCTATTTCTTTACATTATACATTTAAGAAGGCCCTCTTGTCTCTCCTTGCTATTCTTTGGAAGTCTGCATTCAATTTTCTGTAACTTTCCCTATCTCCCTTGCATTTTGTTTCCCTTCTCCTCTCTGCTATTTGTAAGACCTCGTTGGACAGCCACTTTGCTTTCTTGCATTTCCTTTTCATTGGGATGGGTTTTGTTGCTGCCTCCTTTACAATGTTACCAGCCTCTATCCAAAGTTCTTCAGGCACTCTGTCCACCAAATCGAGTTCCTTAAATCTGTTCTTCACTTCCACTGTGTATTCATAAGAGATGTGGTTTAGATTATACCTGACTAGCCCAGTGGTTTCTCCTACTCTTTTCAGTTTAAGCTTGAATTTTGCTATGAGAAACTGATGATCAGAGCCACAATCAGCTCCAGGTCTTGTTTTTGCTGACTGTATGGAGCTTCTTCATCTTTGGCTGCAGAGAATATAATCAATCTGATTTCGGTATTGCCCATCTGGCGATGCCGATGTGTAGAGCTGCCTCTTGTGTTGTTGGAAAAGAGTGTGATTACCAGCTTGTTCTCTTGACAAAACTCTATTAGCCTTTGTCCTGCTTCGTTTTGAACTCCAAGGCCAAACTTACCTGTTGTTTCTTTTATCTCTTGACCCCCTGCTTTAGCATTTCAGTCCCCTGTAATGGAAAGAACATCTTTGTTTGATATCAGTTCTAGAAAGTGTTGTAAGACTTCATAGAACTGATCAATTTCAGCCTCTTCAGCATTGGTGGTTGGTGCATAGACTTGGATTACTGTGATGTTGAAAGGTCTGCCTTGGATTTGTATTGAAATCATTCTCTCATTTTGAGATTGTTTCCCAGTACAGCTTTTCCTACTCTTTTGTTGACTATCAGGGCTTCTCCATTCCTTCTACGGGATTCTTGCCCACAATAGTAGATGTGATAATCGTCTGAGCTGAATTCGCCCATTCCTGTCCATTTTAGTTCACTGATGCCCAGGATGTCGATGTATATTCTTGCCATCTCCTGTTTGACCACCTCCAGCTTCCCAAGGTTCATAGATCTTACATTCCATGTTCCTATGCAGTATTCTTCTTTGCAGCATCGGACTTTCCTTTCACTTCCAGGGACGTCCACAGCTGAGCGTCCTTTTGGCTTGGGCCCAACCACTTCATTAGCTTTGGAGCTACTCGTACTTGTCCTCCGCTGTTCCTCAGTAACATGTTGGACGCTTTCCAACCTGAGAGGCTCCTCTTCCAGTGTCATATCTTTTAGCCTTTTGTTTCTGTCCATGGAGTTTTCTTGGCAAAGATACTGGAGTGGCTTGCCCGTTCCTGTTCCAGGTGGAATGCCTTTAGTCCAAACTCTTCGCTATGACCTGTCCGTCTTGGGTGTTCCTGCACGGCATAGCCCATAGCTTTTCTGAATTACTCAAGCCCCTTCGCCACAAGGCAGCAATCTGTGAGGGGGCAGCAATCTTTGAAGTATTTTAATATGTTTATTCAAACTCAGTAAATTGTTAGATTTTCAAAGTGTTACTATGTTACATATTCTTAAAAAAATTAGTTTTGCATTTGTTAAACTTTTTTTAAAGTGGAAAGAGATAGATATGGAAAAATAACACCAGTAAACATATCCTTTAAAACAAAGTTGTGTGGAAGAGGAATTATTTCTGGTCAGTATTGGACACTTAATATAGGTACATGGCAATGTATGAATTTAAAATACAATTTGATCTGTAACAAAGTATCAGTCCATACAGTTGTTGTTTGGTTACATTATCTCCCCCCCCCCCAAGTCAGGATACTCAGTTTGTGTAGCAGTTGGACTAGGATGAAATGGCACTGGGCCCCTTGTTTCCAGTTTTTCTTTTTTTTCATAGCAAATCAGCCAAACTGCATCAGAGTGAGAAAGGGTAGACAGATCTTGAGAGTAGTAAATTGTTTTCTCCCTCAAGAAGGTACAACTTTGTTATATTTCTATTGTAATTGAGCAAGGGATGACTATTTCTTTTGCAGTGTTCATTGAAATTTAGCTACTTTTCTAATAAGGGTATATGGCCTCACTGAAATGGAGGTGGTAAGGTGGCCACTGCTCCATTTCCTTACCAAAAGAAGGATGTCTTTGCGTTAAATTTGTATCTGCTAATTTGAAATAATATATGCAAATATAACCATTAGACGTTATCACTGTAAGTGGAAATATAGTACTGCATGTCATACTGCATAACATTGTGAGTAGATAATCACCTTGAGACACAGCTTTGAGATAAACGTGGGATTTAAACTCATTAAATAAATAAATAATGCATATTGCTTAATAACTGAAATGCTCTGGACCTTGCATTTTCTTCAGCTTACTGAAGTGAATATATATAGAAAGAAAATAATCAGAGGCCATTTGAGTTTTGTTGACCTATATAGCTATGCAACAATCCATTATTTTAGAGGAGTGGTCTGAACAGTGCTTCCAAAATGTCCATTGCTGGAATGGACTTCACATCTGAAGTTTGTACAGAACTGGCATTCCATGCCATACTCTTCCTGCCATTCATCAGTAGTTATATCCATGTGTGTTGTCTGCTTTTCTTATACAGTACAATAATGCTCCATTCAAGCTATTTTAATTAAAACACAATAAAATTTACATAGCTGTGATGAAACCACATCCCTCAAACTCCATTTTTAAAAGCTGCAGCATCCATTATGTAACTCACATTAAGTGAGAGGGACAAGCCAAGATTACTTGAGGAC